AGACCTAAAATTCCTGCTTCATTTGAAAGGTGATATGGTTAGAGCAGAGGTGATAGGAAGATGGAGTGAGTAGGGAGAATGAATTAAGTGGAAGAGTACAGAATTCACAAATATGTGGAGATTATACAACGTACACCTGAATAATTAATGGATCTTAGAATAAATCAAAAGAAAAGTAAAAAAAATCTTGAGACAAATGAAAATGAAAACACAACATACTAAAATGTATGTGATGCAGCAAAAGCAATTCTAAGAGGGAAGTTTATAGTAATTAACCCATACATTAAGAAAAAATAAAGAGCTCAACCTTCCTTTATATCTCAAGGAACTAGAAAGAGAAGAATAAACCAAAGCCAAAGTCAGAAAAAAGAAAATAACAAAAGTCAAAGCAGAAATAAATGACATATAATGACAAGGGAGACAGTAGAAAAGATCAATGAAACTAAGCTGTATTTTTTTTTAAGCTAAACAAAATTGACAGATGTTTAGACTGAGGAAAAAAGACTTAGAAATAGACATTACTATTGATAACAGAAATACTAAGGATCATAAGAAACCACTGTGAACATTTATATGCCAACAAATGAGATAACCTAACAGAAATGGATAAATTTCTAAAAACATACACCCTACCAATTCTGAATCATGAAGAAATAAAAAAAATCTAAACAGACCAATTATTAGTAAAGAGATTAAATCAGTAGTTAAAAACCTCCCCACAAAGAAAAGTATAGGACCTGATGGCTTCCCTGGTAATACTACCAAACATCTAAAGAAGAGTTAATACCAATGTTTCTCAAATTTCCAAAAAATAGAAGAGGAGGGTATACTTCTTCCAAATGCACTTTACAAGACCAGTGTTAATCCTGATGAGGACACTTCAAGAAAAGAAAATTACAGGTCAGTATTCCTGATGAAGATATACACAAAGAGCCTCAACAAAATATTAGTAAACTGAATTTAATAGTACATTAAAAGGAGCTTACATCATGAACTGTCATATTTATTGCTGGAATGCAAGGATGATTCATCATATGCAAATCATTAAATGTGATATACTACATTAACAAGATGGAGAATAAAAATCATATGATCTCGCTAGATTGTAAATGTAAATGTAAAAGCATTTACATTACATTTATAATTACATTTGTAAATGTAAAAAGCATTTTACAAAATTCAGTATCCTTTCATGATAAAAATGTTTAGAAAATTAGGTATAGATGGAACATACCTCAACATCATAAAGGCAAATTATGACAAGCCCATAGTTCACATTATGCTCAACAGTAAAAAGCTGAATGTTTTTACTCTATGATCAGGAAAAGACAGGGGTGCCAACTCTTACCACTTTTATTCAAAAAAGTACTGCCAAGTTTTAGCCAGAGCAATTAGTCAAGAAAAAGAAATAAAAGACATCCAGATTAGGAGGGAAGAAATAAAATTGTCCCTTTTTGCAGATGACATGATATTATATATAGAAAACCCTAAAAGAATGTACATTCCCCTCCTGCTCCACACACACACCAAAAACTATTAGAACTAATAAATGACTTCAGGAAAGTTTCAGAGTACAAAATCAATATACAAAGACAATGGCATTTCGTACATTGGCAATGAACTGTTGGAAAGAGAAATTAAGAAAACAGTCCTATTTGTAGAACATCAAAAAGAATCAAATACCTATGAATAAATTTAACCAAGAAAGTAGAAAATCTGGTCACTAAAAACTGTAAGACATTGATGAAAAAAGATGAAGACACAAATGGAAAAATAATTGTGTCCACTTATTTGAAGAATTAATATTGTTAAAATGTCCACATTACCCAAAGCGACCTATGGATTCAACACAGTCACTATAAAAATTCCAATGGCACTTTTCACAGAAATAGAAAAACAGTCCTAAGATTTGTATGGAACCACAAAAAAACCCAAATAGTCAAAGCAATTTTGAGAAGAACAAAGCTGGAGACAACACACTTTCTGAGTTCAAACTATATTATGAAGTATAGTACTCAAAACAGCGGTGTTGTCAAAAACAAACATATAGATCAATGGAACAAAATAGCCCAGAAATAAACCTATGCATATATGGTTAATAAATTTCTGACAAAAGAGTTAAGAATATACAATGGAGGAAGGGTAGTGTTTTCAATAAAAAGTGTTGAGAAAGCTGGATCCACATGCAAAAGAATGAAACTGAACTCAGATCTTACACCATTCATGAAAGCAACTCAAAATGGATTAAAAACTTGAGTGTAGGACCTGAAACTTTAAACTCTTAGAAGAAAGTGGGTAAGCTTCTTGACTTCAGTCTTGGCAATGATTTTTTGAACTTGACACCAAAAGCAAAGGCAGCAAAAGCAAAAATAAATAAGTAGGACTACACCAATGTGAAAAGCTTCATGGTAAAGAAATCCATCAACAAAATGAAAAGGCCAGCCGTTTGCAAACCACATATCTAATAAGGGATTAATAGCCAAAATATACGAGGAACTTTTACAACTCAGTAACGTACATACATACATACATAAAAATAAAAATGGGCAAGGGACTTGAATGACATTTTTTCCAAAATGTAGAAAGAAATCGTTCGAACAGGAATTAAAAATGGGCAAGGGGCCTGAATAGACATTTTCCCAAAGAAGGCATACAAATGGCTAGGAGGTATATGAGAAGTTGCTCAACCTCACTAATCACCAGGGAAATGCAAATTAAAACCACAAGATGTTACTTCATATTTGTTAGGATGCCATCAAAAAGACCAGAGACAACACATGCTGGCAAGGATGTGGAGAAAAGGGAACCCTTGTACATTGTTGGTGGGAATGTAAACTGGTACAGCCACTATGGAAAACAGTATGGAGGTTCATGAAGAAATTAAAAATAGAACCACCTTATGATCCAGCAATCCCACTTCTGGGTATGTATCCAAAGGAAACAAAAATCACTATTTCAAAGAGATAGTTGTACTCTCATGTTTATTGTAGCATTATCACAATAGCCAAGGTATAGGAACCTTAGTGTTCATTAGCAGATGAGTGGATAAAGGAAATGTGTATGGGTGTGCGCACACACGCACGAATATTATTCACTCTAAAAAAAGGAAGTCCTGTCATGTGTGGCAACTTAGATGAATTTGGAAGGTATTATACTAAGTGAAATAAGTCAGAGAAAGACATATTACAAAGTATCACTTCTATGTAGAATCTTTAAAAAAAAGTTGGACACATAGAAACACAAGGTAGGATTGTAGTTACCAGAGGCTGGATTGGGGGTGGGGTGGTAGTGAGAGAAAGCAGGAGAAGCTGGAAAAAGGGTACAAACTTTCAGTTATAACAAGTAAAGTCTGAGGATGTACTGTGTATCATGGTGACTATGGTTAATAATTCTGTATTTTATAATTGAAAAAAATTTTAAAGATTTTGTTTATTTTAGAGAAAGCATGGGGCAGAGGGAGAAGAGAATCTTAGACTCTTTGCTCAGAGCAGAGCCAGATGCAGGGCTCAATCTCAGGACCCAGAGATCACAACTTGAGCCTAAATCAAGGGTTGGACGCTTGGGACATCTGGGTGACTCAGTGGTCGGGCATCTGCCTTCGGCTCAGGTCGTGATCCTGGGGTCCTGGGATTGAGTCCCACATCGGTTCCCCATGAGGAGCCTGCTTCTCCCTCTGCCTGTGTCTCTGCCTTTCTCTCTGTGTCTCTCGTGAATAAATAAATGAAATCTTAAAAAAAAAAAGTTGGATGTTTAACTGACTATATACCCCCCGGCACCCCCGTATGATTGAAATTTACTAAGAGTGGAACTTGAGTGTTCTCATACAAAAAGGTAATTATGTGAGGTGATGGATGTGTTACTTAATCTTTCCCAGTGTGTCCCATGTTGCACACTTTATGATTTTGTTAATTTTATCTTGATAGAGTTGAAATTTTAAAAAAGTAGAAGGGGAAGAGAAAACTTTGTTAAATCATGCTGGGTGTTTATTTGTACTCTTTGTCTTTCATATTTACCAGTTGAGTTTCAGTTTTTCCACTCCTGTTGCTCTTTTCAAGAAAATCCAAATAGTTAAATTTTTGATGATGTTAAAGTTTTTAGATGTTTTCCTCAGTGTTATAGTTTAATTTTTTAAAGTTACAGCTACTGAAAGATTTAGTAGGTTTGATATACTTGTCTCTAGCCTGCCAACCTAAGAAAAAATATTTTAAAAACTTGCTTTGTTTGAGAAAGAGATTATGAGCAAATGTATTGCTTCTTTTAGAGGAGGAGGCAGGCACTTTCTTGTGTGCGAGTTTCGTTGTGGTCAAAGAATGCATTCCTCAGATTTCATTTGAGCACCCACATGTAGAAAAGCTGTCCCTTAAAAGAAAATAAGAATTAAGTTTTAAATAACATTAAATATTACAACTGACATCTAGAGCATATTGAACATAGCTTGCCCTTTTTTTTTTTTTTTAAAGATTTTATTTATTCATGAGAGACACACAGAGAGAGGTGGAGACACAGGCAGAGGGAGAAGCAGTTTCCCTACAGGGAGCCCAATGCGGGACTCAATCCCAGGACCCCAGAATTGTGACCTGTGCCCAAGGCAGTCGCTCAACCGTTGAGCTGCCCAGGCATCCTGAATCTAAACTTTTAATTCAGAAATTACTCTTGGATAAAAATGCCTTCAAGCAGAAGAGAATACATTTTAAAAATTAAGAACTGTTTTCAGTGCTGGAAACTTTTCAAGTAAATAAAGGGTTTTTTTTCTCCTCCTTTTTTCCTTATTTCCATGCTGGGCTTTGTTCTTCCTGATGAATACTGTGTAGTACATTTTCAGGAAAACATGTTCCTTTTAAGAGAAATCAAAAAGTTTTAATTGTAAATTCAGAGCTGTGCAGTGTTCATTTCTGTAGTAAGTACACTTATGGGAAGAATATCTGTCCTTTCTTTTCAAAAAATGCAGTTGCAATGTGCTTTGACCAATCTAATGTCCTGTTTCTAACTTTTCTCTCCAGGAGCTACAATTGGAACATGCAAGACAAGCCTTTGCACTGAAAGACAAAAGCAAAAGTGGTGTGATTTCCGGTCTGGATTTCAGTGACATCATGGTTACCATTCGATCTCACATGCTTACTCCCTTTGTGGAGGAGAACTTAGTTTCAGTAAGTAGAAAGCAAGTATTTCATTTTCTGTTTCCTTAAAAATTTTGAACTATTGGATCCTGGCTTGCCTCCTTGGACCCATCTGACTCTCAACTATTCTAACTTTATGTTTGGATGTAGAAGGTAAATAGGTTTGTGTAAGGGAAGTGGGGGTGATGGTGAATAGTCTTTCCCCTTATCATAGCTTTTTCAGAGCCACCGTCTTGCTGTCCTATATTTTCAAATTATTTATTTCCATTTATAGAGTCCAACTAAAGAAAACAGGGTTTATAGACAAGGGTGTATAATTACCTTTTCCCAGTGGGCAGTACCTTGCCCAGACATTACTGCCTTCACCTTGGCCTCTTTCCATCCCACTAGGCTCCCAAAGCCTTGCTATAAAGATGGCTCCTTCCTTTGTTGCCTGCAGGGTGCTGTTTGCTAGAGGAATCATCACTGGCCTCTACACTGTTTTAATAACCATGGCCGTGGCAGAAGGTATGGAGGAAATATGTGGGCATCAGCCTCTGTGGCTCCCTCCTCTCTCTGCCCCTTCACCTGTGCATTCAGTCTGCATGGACCAGACGGTTTTTTTTTTTTTTTTTTTTTTTTTTTGTTCTGTCAAACTGCTAATCTCTACAAAGTAATCATCTGGACCAATAGCAAACTGATGTCATTCACTTCCTCACAAAGAGTGGTGAAACTTTCCTCACTTACCAGTTTTCTTGTTCATGCATTGTACTTATGTATAAGTTTTTGATTGCTGCTTGTTTTCAATGGAGGGAAGCCAATGAGTGCTTTTGTTGTTTCAGCTGAAGATCATTATCCCTGATTTAGACTGGGGTAGAAAGATCAACTTCTGTTCTTTTTCTTCAGTGAATTTGAACATGGAGCATGTCACTTTGTCCTACACATTTCACCTCCTTGACACCCATCTCCCACTCCCTGAACCCTTACCTCATACCCCAGCCAAAAAATGAGAGAAGGAAGGAAAGAAAAGGGGGGGGGGGCAGACTGAAAGAAAATCCTGGAGAAAAGGACTCACTCAGTGCCTTGGAGTGAGGGGACCCATTTAATCTTTTCCAATTGGCTTACGTAGACTTATTATAGCTTCAGCTTACCAAATGGCATTTCAGTCCCTGAAGGAATGTATTAAATAATTTGAGTTCTGCTTTTGGGTCACTGGCATCCAAATTCAGGCTAATATACATTCATCTATATTTGGGTTAAGGCATGTGTGTGAGGGATGGGTGCATTTGCCCATCATTACCTACACTATTCTTAGTGGACCTTTATGATTAAGGTCACGCTGGTATTTCCATAAGTATTTCTTTGAGTTTTTAATAGAGAATGTTTTCAATCATATGGGTTCCTCTGACTCCTGGCCTAGAATTTAGGCTTTTAAAAACTATGAAAAAAATTCTCTTTTGAATTTATATCCAGCTGGTGGGAGAGGGAGAACTTATCTCCTCACCCTGCCAGGGTAATGAAGGCCACATTGCCCCTCATTACTCCCCAGGCATGAGAAAGCCTCTTCTGCCCTGTTCCACTAAAGATGTACTTTATGGTGAATGAATCCTCCCTAGATTTCTCTACATTTTTTGGAGTTTTTGATAGTTGTATCTTTGACGATGCAGGTTCAGAGCCCAGCACAGAAGTTAAATATCTTAATTATAACAGTGGCCTTAAAAAAAAAAAAAAAAAAGATAAGGAGAGTTGCTACAGTGAAATAGTCTTACAATGTAAAGTTTTTTTGTGTATGTATATAAGAATAAAAGCGAGTTTAAAAACTACTCCTTATGTTGTACACTGATGTTTGAATTATCCTGGACTAGCAAGAGTTCCATAGTTGAGGATCTTGAAAATCCTGTTTAAATAACCATTGTTTTTGATCTGTGATAATTGTATTTGTTGTTTCTGACCTTATAGGTAGATGAACCGTGAAGTCCAACTTCCAGATGTTGCTTTCTTCCTTAAAACCTAAATTACATAGACCTCCCTGAGGGCGTGAAATGCACTGAGTGTTTCAGTACGATACTTTCTCTATATTTATGGACTGGTTGTTAATCACTTTAATAATGAAGACTCTTTTGGATCTTCTTTTGAGAAAAGTGTAGTGTCTTTAAACATGTTTTTTTTTGTTTTGTTTTCATTTGCTTTTTAAACTTTTCGTGTTGTCATTTCCTAGGCAGCTGGAGGAAGTATCTCACATCAGGTTAGCTTCTCCTACTTCAATGCATTTAACTCCTTACTGAATAACATGGAGCTTGTCCGTAAGATATATAGCACTCTAGCTGGCACAAGGAAAGATGTTGAAGTCACAAAGGGTAAGAGTTTAAAAATACATATTGATTTCAATCTACATTTTCATTTTTCTTTTTTTTTTTTTTTGAAGTTTTTATTTATTTATTCATGAGAGATACACACACACAGAGAGAGAGAGAGAGAGAGAAGCAGGCTGCATGCAGGGAGCCTGACATGGGACTCGATCCTGGGTCTCCAGGATCACACCCTGGGCTGTAGGCTGCACTAAACTGCTGAGCCACCAGGGCTGCCCTTCACTTTTCTTTATCTAGGGCATGAAGTTGATCTAAGTTTACTGCTCTGAAGCCAGATCTAGAAAATATGTTATATGTGCATGCTTCACTTGAGCCATAATGGTCTCTAAAAATCCAGGTGTAATTAATGGGATGCTGGGGTCAGGAATGGAAAAGTGGCTTTGACAGTTTTGAAAAGAACCTTGGCCCAATCTGTCAAACTGGTCAGTGGCAGTGTGGCAGCAGCTTGTATGTTCTAAGAAAGAGTTGCCACAGAAAGATGGGCACACCTACTCTTTTTGCTATATTGTAACAGGGTGTTTTAGGTGATTGGAGAATAACCAGTTCTTTTTTATCTTGTAACGGTGGAGATCAAAGCAAATATACAAGATAAGAGAGAGGATTCTGAAGAGATTGTTTTATCTTTGAAATTAAAGTATCTGTTTTTGCTGTTTGTGATGTTAACATTTTATCTTTAGCCAACTTTCAGAATTTCATAGTTGAACTTAAGTATTTAAATTCAGTTTTAGATTTTTAAAATAATACTAAGATGTCTTTAGCTTTCAGATTATGCTTGGTTAAAGTAGAAGCATATGAAGAATCTGCTAAGATTTTTAAATACTTTCTTTTTCTTTTAGAGGAATTTGCCCAGAGTGCCATACGCTATGGACAGGTCACTCCACTAGAAATTGATATCCTCTACCAACTTGCCGACTTATATAATGCTACAGGGTAACTATTCTAATAATTCTTTATGATATTTATTTTAGGACAGTTAGTTTAACATGTGAAGCAGGGGTATGCTTTCTGTTCATTTTAATAGTAGTTAATTCAGTCTGCAAATTCCGAGAGATAGGCAATATGAGTAACAAGGAAGGAGGGAGAGACAGAGGAAAACAGACTTTTAGGTTGGGGAGATGGATAGAGGGAAAGGGAGAGAGAGCAAGAGGAGGAGAGGGAAGAGATGGAGAAAGGGAGGTAAAAGGAAAGAGCAAAGGCTTACGGGGCCTGAGAGAGGGAAATGGGGGAAGGAAGAAAACAGTGAGTCAGGGAGTAAGAAGAAAGAGAAGGATGGGAAAAATGGATTTCAACTGTACTGGATTAAATGTAAGATACTTGTGAAAATTTGCCTAAATTTATCAAATAAACTGAACTACATGTTCAGGAGCCTTATCTTTTTGGTTCATTGTAAATGGTCATTTTACTGAATGGTAAATGTCATTTTGTGTTGGTATCGTTTTCGTGAAATATGCCTGTGACATTATTATCATAGTTAGCATCATGGACAAGCTCAGATGTTTTATGCCTCCATTTTATACATTAAAAAAAACAAAGCATTTTGAGAGTTTTTAATTTGCAAAGTTCTTTTGCAAATCGAAAAGAAAAACCTTTATCTCTGGCAGGGTTTGTGTAATGAGGACTTATGCTTTATTAAGTGGTAAGATTTTTTAGATGCCTTTAGTAGTTAAGTATAGGAATACCTGGACCTGAGGACTAGTAGAAGCTGAGTATACATGGGTGATTTTTTAAAAAAATTTTTAAAGATTTTATTTATTAGCGTGCGAGAGAGAGAGCATGCACAAGCAGAGGGGGAAGGACAGAGGGAGAGGAAGAAGCAGACTCCTCACTGAGCAGGAAGTCCGATGCAGGGCTCAATCCCAGGACCCCAGGATCATGACTTGAGCTGAAGGTAGACACTTAACCAACTGAGCCCCCCAAACCCCCCACACCTGGGTGATTTATTGCCTTCATGCTACATAATGAATTGTTGGACTGGAGGTGACACTAAACGTACCAGCCTATCTCTGGTGACTGACATGAAGTATCAGGCCTTGTCTCATCCATGTAGAATTCATATTTTTAGTAAAGATTCTGAGCCTTCCTTCATGAAATAAACAGTTTCAAAAAAGTGCTTCTCAAAACTGGATCTGAAGTGATCTACCTTGTTCATGGAATGTATTGATTTTTAAATAAATTTTTTGAAAACAGTAGTGCATGTTTTGAAACTTGGAGCTTAAAAAGAGGGTGCTGTAAAAACTCTCTCTTCTACCTTTTGTGCCTTTCTTTAAAGACCACCAATATTGGGATCCCTGGGTGGCGCAGCGGTTTGGCGCCTGCCTTTGGCCCAGGGCGTGATCCTGGAGACCCGGGATCGAGTCCCACGTCGGGCTCCCGGTGCATGGAGCCTGCTTCTCTCTCTGCCTGTGTCTCTGCTCCTCTCTCTCTCTCTGTGACTATCATAAAAAAATAAAAATAAAAAAAAAATAAATAAAGACCACCAATATTGATCACTTTTGTGCGTTTATCCTTCTCAAAGTACTTTGTGCCTGTGCATTAAATATGTACACTAAAGGGATATGGTTAGTACGAATTAACTGTCAAAGTCGATACTTCTGGTAAAAATTAGTTTTTTATTTTTATTATCTATCATAGAGTATTATTAACTTTGTGCACTCTACATATTTTTTCTGAGGTCTTTGCTTTTTGTTGTGGGAACTTAGGCCTTTATTTATCTTCATGATCTGTGTGAATAGGGAAAAACTACTTTTAAAGCACAGTTCTTTTCTCCGATCCTTTTTTTTTTTTCCTGAAGAAATATGATCTTGGTATGAGAGTGTTGGTGTCTAACAATTTTCCTTTCTCCTATTTTTGCCTGAAGGCGCTTGACTTTGGCAGATATTGAGAGAATAGCACCGTTGGCTGAGGGGGCCTTACCTTACAACTTGGCAGAGCTCCAGAGACAGGTAGGAGGTAGAAACCACCTTCAGAAATGCTGGAATCCTATGTACATGACAGCTTAGAGCTTCTGAATGCTATGAAAATTAAAGACTACTTTCAAGAAAGAAGCTCTACTTAGCTCACAGATTACCTTTATAGAACTGTTATCCCTGCCCTCATGAAGTATTTTTATGGAGGACTAAATTTATGTTTTTTTTTTTTTTAATTTTAGCTATTAAGATAAGGAAAATAAGAGAGCAAACATACATGGGCTTGACTTCCTTCTCCCTAGAACTAGCAGTATTTGCCTTTCATTTGTATAGTGACATTTAAATATTAGTGTTAAGTTCCTTTTAAATCATTAGACTGATATTTATAGGGTTTTTAAAATACAAAACATTCTTCTAATGAAGTAAATCTTTCACTGAGATTGTGCTTTATAGATTATAACACAGGAACACTATGTAATTAATGAACCAGAAAGAAAACTTTGACTATTATTGCATTTTTAATAAAATATTATCATTTTTTCTTAAAGAATGATTTAAACAGTAGCTTCTGAGTCCCACAAAGTTAATACAGTCTCATTTCTGATTTCAAAAATACTATTTTAATGGGAAAATAAACCCCATGATACTTTGTGGAAGAGTAGAATGGAAAAAAAATTATAGAATGGAACAGGTTTTGGGTTTTTTTTTTAAGTCTTGTTTTAAATTGAAACTCTTAACTTCTGTAGCACTTGGAGGAAGCTTCGTTTGTAGTGATGGTCACATGGCTTTGTGTGTGGAGGAGGGTTAGGAGGGCTACTGCCTGTCCTCCTGTTACTTCCCTGCTCTACTAGATGAGGTCTATGTCCCACATGATTCCTTAGGGGACTATGGTGCCCTAGGAGACATTGAAGGGGTTTGGGCAGACAGGAAAAAGACCAGAAACAAGGAGAGAGGAAAAAAACTAAATAGGCATGCCACAGAAGAGCACAACTCTTTTTTTTCTTCATTGCTGCCACAGATGAATAGCTACATGTGCTAGAGAAAGATCAGGCATGTGAGTGTGGTTCACTCTGGGAGATTTTGGTAGGAAATTTTCTTCTACTTGAGCTCCATGGAATGATTCTGCCTCTGAAGCTAATTAGAATTTCCAGTTCTACTTTACATAATAAACAAGTACTTTTTAGTAAGATAAGTAGATTGAAGATAGAAAATATTGCTTTTATATCTACATTTTATGTTAATACTTTATTTTCCTGGAATGGAATAAAGCTCCCTGCAGATTAAAATATATCTATAACCCATTACAGTTTAGCTTCCTTAAAAAAAAAAAAGCAAAAAAATTCTTACCTGCTGTCATCAAAGTATATTTCCCCTATATGTTCTCAGATCCTTTAAAAAATAGATTTACTCCAACTCACTGATTTATAAAATATAATAAAATTATTAAATCATCGAGGCATTGAAATATTTAAAGAGCATAGTGAATTTAATTTTGCATTTTGTAGTGTACAGTTATAAAAATTTGCTTTGAAATAAAATATATATTTCAAAAGGAGATTTTTTTCAGTGTTAATATGTTTACTAACATAGCTTAAAATATCACTGACTATATTTCCTATGCTGTACTTTTCATCTCTGTGATGTATTTATTTTATAACCGGAAGTTTGTACTGCTTAATCCCCTTTATCTATTTTTGCCCATCCCCCCCACCTTTCCTCTGGCAACCACTATATACAACAGCCAAGATATGGAAGTAACCCAAGTGTCCATCAGTAGATGAATGGATAAGAAAGATGTGGTATGTATACACACATGCTCACACGCACACACACACACACACACACACACACACACGAATATTATTCAGCCATAAAAAAAGAGTGAGATCTTGCCATTTGTGTCACCATGGATGGACCTAGAGAGTATTATGCTAAGTGAAATAAGTTAGTCAAAAAAAAAAAAAAAACAAGTTAAAAGACAAATACCATTTGATTCTCTTTATATGTGGTATCTAAAAGACAAAACAAAAAACCTATAGACCCTTAAATCTTGTTTTGTAAGGCCAAGAATATTGAATTCAAATCCAGGTGTGATTTGCAGGCAAAGAATTTTGTTTTATTTTCTCTATGCTTATTTTGCCATTCCAATAATACATTTCAGTAGATATTAAAATCTAGCCTTTTTCTTCTCCCCTTGTATGTTCAGTATAAAAATGATTGGGTTTTCCTTCCTTTTCTTCTCTCCATTAATAGTGTGCTAGTTTGAAGGGGGCAGTTCTCTTTTTTGGGTTGGCATAAAAACCTGAAGTAGCTTGGTTTGGACAGGTAGTTTGACTTGTTCACGGGCATGATCTCACCTTACCTAATTCTCATTTATAGAATGGGGTACATTCAATAACAAAAGCGCAAGAACTTTCTATTATCCAAATGAGGTCTCCAGTCATTTCCTATCATTCACATATACTTAGGGAGCAGATTAAAAATCAGTCGAGATCCTCAACTCTTATTTTGCTTTGAAAAACACTTAATTAATCTTGTTAAATATCACTTTCATGATCATAATCATAACCTTAAGGGAAAGAGTGCCTCTTCCTTTGGCCCATTTGCTCACGGTAGGCGATCTTCTTCTTAGTGCTGAGTATTTTTCTTTCAGCCTAAATGCTAAAAATTCAGTACACAGTCATTAACAGGGATGACAGCTACAGTAGCATTCTACTTATGAATATTCATGAAGTGAAATCCATAGCATTAATTAAATTAATTTACATACCTGAATACAAGTGAACCATAAGTTACAGTGCTAAGTTTAAAAAAACCTTACTGACCATATATTGTACTTTATTATTATTATTTTTAAATATATTGTACTTTAAAAAATGCTGTTTAATAAGGGCAGAGACCAAAAGGCGTCTAGGTGTTTTGTATTAATAGAGATGTTCTTAACTAAGAATTAGAGTGCACTATAATCTTCCAGTTTTCATAGGCTTTTGTAGGACTTATAAACATTCTTTAAAGGAAAGGTGGGTAAAGAAAATATATGTCGTTGAACATAGGAGAGATTTTCCATATCAAAATTAGTGGTTACTTGATTCTAATCGGGGATCATAGCCCTTTATTTTATGAATTTATTTATATATATATTTTTTTATTTTATGAATTTAATTCATCATCTTTTGAAAGGAATATGGTTGAAAATAATAATCTATGAGAATGAGGCTTATTTTCACAGTTTTGTGATTGAGAAACTCCATTTTGGAAAAAAGTTTTATGTGCATATTAAAAATGTATTTGCTATCCAAGAAACAGACTCTGAACTGGATAGAACAAACTGATGGTTACCAGGGGTGAGGTGGGTGTGGGGATGGGTGAAATAAGTGATAGATTTTAAGGAGGACACTTGCGTTGGGGACCGGGTGATGTATGGAAGTATTGAATCACTATATTGTACTACTGAAACTAATATACTGTGTGTTAACTAACTGGAATTTAAATAAAAACTTTTTAAAAAACCCATATTTGCCTGTTTTTAAAAGGTAGCATAATAGCCACATTGATTTTAAAGTTTTTTAAATTTAAGCTAAAATGCTGTTACTTAAATTTCTTCAAAATATGTGATGTTAAAAACATCTTTGCCTTGAAGATACACATTGTGTTTTCAACTGTTATCTTTGAAACAGAGTATCAGAATTAACTGGTTAGCTTCCCTTTGTTCAAACAATTTTTAAAAAACTCACTGAAGCATAGTCAATGTAATGCATTGAAGTGATAACCAAAAAGATTTTTGGATTAATAAATGAAAATAAAACTTAAAAAAAATCACTTTACTTCATCTCATTCTTTTATAATTTCTACTTTTGTATATGTTTAAAAGGCATACTATATGTAATTTAATAAGCATATGTCATTTAGATTTCTGTAGTACAATGGAACATGTATATGACTTTATAAATGAAATTATATATTGAGATTAGGTGCTTAAAATCTTCCTGGCAGGAGTGTTTGATCCTAAACAGTTGTTGGAGCTGTTCACTTAAAAGAATGATGGAGACTTCTATCCTTCTGATGGTCTCACAATGGAGTTTATTTACAGAAGATTAAAAATCTGGGTCCCTGAGGGCTGCATTAGGGCACAGGTCTTGAGTGCTTGGTAAAGTACTTTCATCCTTTAGGAAATAGTAAATCTCTAAACAGTCTAAAATTATTATTATTATAGTGATAAAGAGAACAAAAAGTAATTATCTTTTTGAATGGCCCATTTTTTGCTGTTCTATGAATGAATCAAATTAGGCTTATACTCAAGATTTTGTTAAAATATCCTGTTCTATTATTAGATTTCAAATAAAAATATCAGTTTCTAATTATTAATTGCTCACTTTTGTTACAGCATGTAAATTAAACATAATGGATGGCTTTGTAGTTGCTTGAGCTAACTTGATAGGAAAAATGTATTTCCTACAAGATCATGATAATGTACTACTCTGTAATTTTCCACCTTTTAATGGTTTCTTCCACAAACTAAATTCAGTTTTGTATGTAATAGATGTATACTTTCACCTAATTAGATTATAGTAAATTTAGTATATTTTGATAGTTGAGATTTATAAAATATGTACTGATATTATTTGAAATAATGATATTCTACCAATTTCTTTTTTTGCCAAGGGTTTTCCAAGTGTTTCATTTTGACTCTTCATCAAACATTGTTTATTTTCCTTTTTACTCTAGAATTTATTGAACCACAGTACTGGCAAGCATAATGAACTTTTAAAAGATTTCTGCCTATAGAGATAAAAATCAAATGTTAAATATTTAGGTATCAGATGCTTTGGTTAAAAACTGTAAACATGCTTATTGTGGTACAGAATTTACAAAACAAGCAGATAAAACTTTTCTGTAGGCTGCTTCTCAAATTATTTGTAAATATCTGGGTTTGCCATATTTAGCTTGGTTAATTCAGCTTTGAAGAAATTGTACAGATGAAAGCAAGTCAGAGTGGATTGGCTTTTTACCTTCTTTTAGATTTTAGGCATGGATTCCCTCTCCATTAAATTATTCTAATGAGCGTATCTAAGCTTTTTATTATGCTGTGTTTATTTTTAAAAGCTTATTCCAAGTTAATATTTTTCAGGTTTGCTTGATGATAAACCAAATATTTTATTCTTTCATCTCAAATTGTTTATAGAGCATAACTGCTGTCTTCATAAAGAAAATATTACAGAACAAGACTGGAAGACAAGTATAGATCAATTATTTTAGATCCTCTATGCTGTGGGATACCTATGAAAGACTTTCTGAGTCACAATAGGGTTTTTTCCCTTTGCATCATTGTCATCACAGATTCTATGTCAGAGCTATAAATATGGGTAGTTTTCAACCTAACTGCACAGCATAATGATTTGAAACCTTTAAAAAATAGATAAGCTCCAGGCCCCAGAGTTTTATTTTTTTTTAAGCCCCTCAGGTGTTTTCTTTGCATAGGTATAACTGGAGAATAGATGGGTCTGGGAGAGGAAATGCTTAGTAACATAGGTCAGAAATACTGTAGTTAATTAGTGATAACTGCAGTGGTGAGCCTGCAAAGCCAGAAATAAGGGGCCAAGGCTCTGAACAGTTGAAATAGTAGTTATTAAAGATTTTCACTTTAGCCCCAAAGAGAACCACTTGGCTTTGCTTTACATATAATTCTAACAATCCTAGTTATGTGGTTTCTCTAGCCCTAATAGATGAGAGGCTGTTGATGAAAGAAGTAATGTCTGTGAGGCATGGGAAGATAGCACAAACAGCTGCATTAGATCTTGATGCAGTAACTGATGGACCTAGGAATGTGATGACTTTCTGTTGTTAGAGAAGGTAGATTATGATCAGTACTCTCTGACTTAGGAATCAAGTTGTGGGTTTTGTTTTTTTTTTTTAAGTCTTTATTTTAGAGAGAGAGTGCAGTGAGTGAGCAAGCAGGGTGAAGAGGGGCAGAAAGAGAGGGAGAATCTCAAGCAGACTTTCACTGACCATGGAGCCCCACAGGGGCTCAGTCTCAGGACCCTGAGATCATGACCTGAGCTGAAATCAAGAGTTGGACACTTAACCGATTGAGCCACCCAGGTGCCCCTCGAGGTAGTTTTTGTACATTTTACAAATATTTAAAATTTTTAAGTTGGCTAAAGTAAAGAAAGGGGAAAAAGATTTTATACCTTAAATATTTATTTGCCTAAAAAAGTCACTTCTCTGGAATGATAGTGTATTCCCCAATAGGAGCAGACAAATCAGGTATTAATAGGCTTGTAAAAAAAAAATGGGAGAGAAAAAAGCAACTGTGTCTATTTGGCTGGATGTGGTTTTTAAATGCTAATCAAGGTATCTATTTTAAAATCTTAAAATAGCTGAATTGTAGCTTTTTAAATTTGCCTTATACTTTTCCTTTTTTTTTTTTTTTTTTTACATGTTTTCCTCTCCACAGCAATCTCACGGTTTAGGCAGGCCTATCTGGCTCCAGATTGCCGAGTCTGCTTATAGATTCACTCTGGGCTCAGTTGCTGGAGGTGAGTGACCTAGCTGTGTGCTGTTCCAAGCTTGTATTAATGTAATATCTCACTAGACTGAGACAGATCAGCAAAGGTGCAGTTTATTGTTGCTGTAGGACTTGACTGCAGAGCTTTCCAAAGTGTTCTTTATTTTTACCTGTGATCATAGGACTTATAGCACAACCATGGCCCCTCTGGCTCCAGTCTGTCTTCAGGACAAAACCTTTGTAATAAAGGGAAAGTCTGGATGTGTGCTGCACTCACCTTAATTTTCCTGGTTAGAACCATATGAAGAAATGGAATAATACTGTGTTAATGGTGTTGGGGGCAAGGGCAGGTAGGAAATCCAGATTTGGGATACAAATCCCAGAACCTTATGAAATAAAATAACCTCCTAAGGTGATTCACCTTTGCATTTCTACTTATGTTTTTTTCCTCTCTCTTTTTACTGCTTGAGAATATCTAGACTTACGGCTATTTGCTAAAAGGAACCTCCCCTCCTGGCTCCTGGGCAAAATTTGAGAGACTTTTTTTTTTTTTTTTTTTTTTGCTTAAATCTCTCTGTAGAAAATGTGTAGAATCTGAAGTTGCTTTGTTGAGTAGAATCTAGGAGGTGTGATTAAAATGCTTATGATTTTTCAAAACAAGCCTGAACCAATGAAACTATTATTTTTTTCTTTTTGGTTTCAGTTTTAGAAGTTGCAGAACATGTTTTGGTTTTCAGCAGTGGAAAAATATAACACTAATTCATTTTATAAATTTTTCAATCTCTGAGAAATTCTAAAACCTGGCCTTTTCTTTTTTTTAAATACCAAATTCTATACAAAGGGATAGGGTCATGTTGAGATGTAGTTCCAATATTATGCTCATAGCTAAGATTAATTTACCAAAATGCTTTAGTAAAGTAAGTTTTAAAATTAAAGCTACCTGTTTGTACATATGTGGTTATTTTAAAGGGGTACAAGGTATAGCATTTAGGCATCAAATGGAAAATATAAAGAAATATGTTACATACAACAGTTTCATGTTGTTACAGAAAATCAAGTCTTGATTATCTGATGTTGGTGATGACTTGAAAATCCACTGCAGTTGTTCTCTGAAGCAGCTGTATTTATGGATCTCAATTGCTAGCCTGTCATCCTTTAGCATGTACGAGAAAAGGAAAAAATAACACATGGTCTCTTTTTTGTGTTTTATTTTCTAGTCCTTTAAGATGAGATTTGTTGTCCTTAAAGATCCTCCATTTAATTGCGTTCTCCTTTAAGTCTAAAAACTGTTTTATTTGTAGCCGTGGGAGCCACTGCAGTGTATCCTATAGATTTGGTGAAGACCCGCATGCAAAACCAGCGTGGCACTGGCTCTGTTGTTGGGGAGCTGATGTACAAAAACAGCTTTGACTGTTTTAAGAAAGTCTTACGTTATGAGGGCTTCTTTGGACTCTACCGAGGTGAGTAAGCATATCTCAGCTGCTGAAGTTAGTGATTTTATCTCTCCAGCAGCAGATCTTAACTCCGTCATTATGAAAATTAGTTTGTAGCCTGTCCAGTCAGACCTAGAGCTGTTTTTCTCTTTTTATTTTCTTGTTGTTTTGTTTCCCTTTTTACATTCTTGCTGGTAACTAGCAATATTAGTCTACAGACAAAGCCTTCATTTCTTCTTCCTGATATTTATATTTCATGGAATCCAAATCCTGCTTTTGTTCCAACATGGGCTTGTGGTCACTCTGTTCTTACAAACTTAGTTAGGCACTGGTGTAGAGGTTGAATAAAGGATGGCAGCTAAGAAATAGATGGTTTTCTCAAAGAGTTAGGGAAGAGAGATGAACCTCTTCTCTGTGAAATTGAAGTCAGGCTGTTACTGGAAGGTAAGTTTACCCTCTATGCACTTGTTTCAATTGAAAGAGATATCAGATGTGTTTGTCTCTTCCAAGAAGACCATTCATAAGTCTTTTTTTCCAGTGAGTCATCTGAAGTTAAAAAAAAAAAAGTGAATAAAAGAAAATCTTTGGCTCCAAATCTCATTCTCTCTCCTTTCCTCCCCTTAGCTCAGAGGCACTGAGTAAAAGCAGAGAGATTTTTTTTTTGCAGGGAATGTTGCCACCAAGTTGAGGCTGAGCACAGTGCTGTCAGCATCAGAGGCAACAACCCCTTGTAGAATTCTCCCCACCCCCATCGGCTTTGTAGGAACTTGTTCTCTTTGGAGAGGGAATGACTTTCATGTATATGTTTTCACATTAGAATTTAGGGTTTCCTTTGGGAGGGAGATTAATTTTTTAATCCCTTTGGGCGCCACTTGGAATTCTTTGAAAATATTCTCTACAAGCTCAAGTCCAGATCGTTTATGTAATTTACCATACTTATTTGTTTGCACACAAAATCTCATTAATCCCTAGCTCACTCTGAGCTCTGTTGAACTGTTTGGCTTAGAACCTTTCCTTGGAAAGAAAGATTGGATCTGTGCAAAGCGTCTGCTCATAGACAGGAGGAAAAAAAAATACATCTGGTTAGCATTATTTGCAGATACTCAAGTGAAAAATGTATCTGTGATATATTTAGAGGAGAGGGTCATGAGGATGTTCATTTTTGGCATTATATAGAATAAGAGTGGTTCTGACATCAAACTAGGCTCAAATAGCCTGCTCTTAAGAATGAATGTAATTAATTTTACTCAAATATTCAGAACTCTAGTCTCTAAATTCTAGTGGAAAAAAGTGTGTGTTGTCCAGGATGCAGATCTGTGCATGGAAATGCTTATTTTAAGCTGTATTAAATCCTGCATATCTAGATTTTATTTAATGAAGAATTTAAGGAGGATTGAGTGGTACTAATAAGGTTGTTGTTGTTTTTCCTTTGTCATCTTCAATCTTTCCTTGTTAAATAATAACCTTTCTTCCTCCTTGGTATACTTGTTAGAGAATGTTCTCTATTAGAAAGTAACCTAGAAAAAAAAAAAAGAAAGTAACCTAGATATATACTGCACACTTTAGCTTTCTCAATGGATGGATGCTTACTGAAAATTTCATTTCGGAGAGATATCATCTTAATTAAATGGGTCTGATATGCCAAGTTTGGAGGTGGGGAGAGGTGGAGGGATTGTTAGCTTTATTCAGGATGTGAGCTGATAAAATCAGTTCTTTAAATGAGAGACTCTTGTATTAGGGAGAAGATTGTAGGAGTCCTGTATGTGAACACTATGATTATTGAGATTGTCATATATTGCTTAGAACTGGTCCATTATTCTGTCAGATGATTGACAAAATTGTTGACAGATTAGCTTAAATTTCTTTGCAGGCAATAGTGATAAAATGACATAAATCAGTACTTTATTAAAATTCCATGAGCCTTATTGAGGCAAGTTGTAAAACAAATATACATGCTGACATGGTTGTATGGAAGTTAGATTAAAAGTAATAGGTCCTCATAATCACGAAGGTTAGAAAGTTAAGACTGCCATCTGCTGATTTATTCTTTTAAATCAGTCTGCTGCCCGTTAAAGGTGTGTGCAGATTTGTGTTTGTCATTGATAATTCCATTTGACTGACAGTAGCCTGTATGTATGATTACTTCTGGCTCTCAACTCATAGAAAATCACTCAGCAGTATCCTCAAAGTAGGCTTAAGATCAGCAGTGAGTGTGCAAACACATATATAACTCCCCCATGGCTGAGTGATTTAAAGGGTATAGAATGTTTATTGTTAGCATCTTTAAAAAATGTATGCAAAAAATGTACGCCAGCAATTTGGATAATCTGTGTGCTTTAGAAAGCTGAGCCTTATGAATATCTACAGATGTTGAATTGTTTGTATATTTTTTCTTTTCCAGTTTGCAGCCAGCCTGGGAAATTTAACTTTCTGAGAATAATGATTTCCTTTGTTTTAAGAAGATTCTTTTGAAAAGTCTTAAGTTTGACATATATTAGTAAATAAGAATGCGGGAGGCATATGTTTTTGCTTGTCGAAGATATCCATTAACTGATACTTAAAACTGCATTTTTCTTTGCAGTTTTGGCTTCCTTTAAGATAAATGAGTACTGAATTCTGGTTTTCTCTGAAGAGAAAATTATGGAAGTTGATATTCTGTAATAACCAAGCCACCATATGCTATTGCATAGGTAATAGCATCATTTGTGGCAAAATCTGGGTCTATTCAACAGCATGCCTTGCAAAGGTTTTCCAAACATACAACATGGGCTTCTCTAAAGTGTTTTTGTACCTTTGCATGTTGTTGGTTGTAAAGGGAGGGAATTTGATTACATTGTTATTGGCAGTGTTTGGGAGTAGAGAAGATCATGGGCTCCATTCCTTTCTCAGGTACTTTTTGAGAGATGTTAGATATCTAGGCTTTAAAGGAAGCATGCTTTTTTTTTTTTTTTTAAAGATTTTATTTATCTATTCACGAGAGACAGAGAGAGAGAGAGAGAGAGAGAGAGGCAGAGACACAGGCAGAGGGAGAAGCAGGCCCCATGCAGGGAGCCTGATGCGGGACTCAATCCCCGGTCTCCAGGATCAGGCCCTGGGATGAAGGTGGCATTAACCACTGAACCACCTGGGCTGCCCCAAAAGGAAGCATGCTTAAGAGAGAATCTATAGTCTCAAGAAAGCATATTATGTTTGACATAAATAATTATTACATACATGTACAGAGTTTTTAGGATAATCCATTTTTCCATATTTTAATGAAAACTCTAAAATGTTTGATAGGCAAATAATGCATCTTTACTTTTCAGGTTTGTGTATTCACATCTAGTATGTTCATATTGCTAATGCTTCTCTCTGTTTACCTAGGTCTGATACCACAACTGATAGGGGTTGCTCCAGAAAAGGCCATTAAACTGACTGTAAGTTTCTTTTTCATTGAATTTATGTCATTTTGTTTAGATTATCATTAAGCCAAAAATTGATGATGCTGCTGAGACTGGCACACTATCACGATGTTTGTAAAGCTTTCAACAAACATGTAAGCATTTGATAATTTTTAATTTTATCATGAGATTGATATTTTGATGACTTTGGAAAACCAAAAACATACCAGTAAAGGAAGTGGTTGAGAATTCTGGTTAACTGATGTTGTCTTTCTGATTAGGTTAATGATTTTGTCCGGGACAAATTTACCAGAAGAGATGGCTCCATTCCACTTTTAGCAGAAATCCTTGCTGGAGGTTGTGTAAGTATTAATACTGGGCATTTCTCATGGCAAGTATTTTCCTTTAATCTTTTTTGCACATTAGATATAATATCTGAGTGACATTCTTTCTGAACTCAAGGATTTCTAAGATTTTCTCAGTGATTGTAAAGAATGCTTTTTAATATCATTGCACGATCTAATTGATTTTGAGTGAAGAAAAGAGATAGTATTTTTATCAGCTCTGACTCTTAGAAGCTCCTGACATTACCTTCCACACTTTTTAAAGTTCTGATTCTTAAATATCACAGAAAATAAGAGTAATGGATAAAGTTCCCATACATTTACACTGTCTGGAACTTTAAGTGTGAGACGACTGATTAATTGGGCTCTTAGATTTTAGGTGTAGGACTGAGTAAACCATTGTGGTATGATTATAATTTTCCTTCTTTAGGGACCAGAGGTTATAGCAAATATCCATAATTATGTTAAGGCTATTAAATTCTGAATGCAGAGATTCAGATTATATTTACTTAGAGCACAAAGGTTTCTCTCTTTAAAGTGTGAGCATGACATTGGATTTGGACCAATTCTCAAATCTAAGTTTGTAGCTCAACTAATTTTATTTGTGGTGTTCATTTCAAATTTGTTACTACATAATTGTTTAAGACTTATTTAGTCCATTTTGTCCCTGAAACCCTTAATAACTTCCAGTTGAACTGGCTGACAGTCCTGGCTAAACCCTCCTCAGTTGCTTGTGGAACTTGAGGTGATGAGGTCAATGACCTTTCCAGCTTTTAATTTAGCAAAGATGCCCCAAGGGTCAGAGAGAGAGCGGCTGCACTGGATTCTTTTTGATGAGATTTGTCAGCCTGGTACATACCTGGGTCCTCACCTTTGTGCAACCAAAGTTCCTATTGAAAAGGTGACTTGGGCTGTGTGTGTGTGTGTGTGTGTGTGTTTGTGTGTGTGTGTGCGCGCGTGCAAGTGTGTATGTATATATGTGCATTTGTGTGTATGTTTGCACACATGTCCGTCCAAGTGCATTTTCAGGAAGAAAACTCACCTCTTTGGCTGACTTTTTTTATGAAGGACAAGTAACATAAAAATAAGACCTTTGTTTAATCAGATCATGAAAAATGTAGTTTCTCCTCTTCCTTTACCACAATGAGAAGCTGTAATTGCTTCTCTTCAAATGAGAGAATGTTTGCGAATCCTAAGTATTTTTTCTCAGTGGTTTGTTTCAGTTTTAGTTTCGTTAAGAAGTTTCTAAGTTCAGTTTTGCCACTGCTCATGCATACGTTTGCCAGAAATCTCCTAAGTCATGCTCTTTCTGTTCCGTGTAGCTCATTATTTCTGTTTTCCTTTGTTATACCCAGAGGTTTTTGCCCATGAAACTGACCTGTTCCCATGTCTGACATGTGACCTAAGTGGTTAAACCGTAATCAGATACTTGGTTCCTTTGTTTTTCCTACTGTGGACCCTGTTTCTAGGTTTGAACTTTGGGAATTTCTGTTGAAGTCTAGGGTGCCTGGAGGGTCATGCTGACATTCTAAATCTCTTCTTTAATCATGACTCATTTCTGAGAACTGTGATGGATTGTCTAGTTGGAAATCAACAGCATGAAAAATAGACAAGTTGGGCTTGAGGCAGAATGATGAGGTAGTCTGCAGTTCTTCACCTCAAACATTTTATGCTTCCTTCTTTTTTCCTAAATCTCTCCATTCAGGGAGGAAAGAAAATGTGTAATTATTGAGTTTGTACTGATGAATTCAGTCACACTATAGTGTAAATGATTGTTAACGCATAATCTGGGGGATCCCTGGGTGGCTCAGCGGTTTAGCGCCTGCCTTTGGCCCAGGGCACAATCCTGGAATCCTGGGATCAAGTCCTGCGTCGGGCTCCCAGCATGGAGCCTGCTTATTCCTCTGCCTGTGTCACTGCCTCTCTCTCTCTCTCTATGTCTATCATAAGTAAATCTTAAAAAAAAATAAAAATAAAGCATAATCTACCACTTCTCCCAATGTCTGTGTATTGCAACAGATAATAAAGCCTTAAACAAAATTAATAAGTCTCTGTTTAAAGAATATTGGGCATTGTGAAATATAGGAATGCTCTCTTTACCAAATGAAACCTGGTAAGCAGCTACCACCAGATAGACACTAGGAAGAGTGGCTGCCTGTGAGCCTGATCATGAGAACGCTCACCATCCTGGGTAGTGGTGGTGATATGATGTTCAGGGGCCCTGTGGATGTTTGGCTAAATGCGGTCTATATCACCAGCTGAGAACAGTGCTGTTTTTCCAAAAATCACTCAATTTGAAAGATGTACCTTGCGTTAACCTGTTGCAAAATGTGTTAACCTAATGCAGATTAATTCAGAAGAAATGGCTTAAACTGAGTAGTCAGTATTGGTATAGACTTTACCTCAGCCAGAAGGATCATCTAGGACCTGAGCTTTGAGTTCCCTATGTATAGGAGAGACATTCTGCTATGAAAATACTGTCCTTTAGGAAAAAAATGGTGTTCATTGACTAGATAATGAATTGACCAAGAAACAAAAATATCCAGTCCTTAGATCTTATTTTTGTTATGGTTTTAAGACTTTTATTTAGAGTCCCTTATCAGACATGTGATTTCTAATGTTTTTCACTTTGTGTCCTTTGAAGAATTGGACTTAGATTTTAATGAAGTCCAATTTAATCATATTTTGTTGCTTGTGCTTTGGTGTCATATCTAAGAAATTATTGCCAAATCCAAGATCATGTAGATTAATACCTCTGTTTTCTTCTAAGAGTTTTATAGTTTTAGCTCTTATATTTAGGTCTTCAATCTTTCACACAAATTATTAATCTTAATATTTTAGGGCCTTTTGCCTTGAGCATAGAGATTACCAAATGACAGTTTTATTTTTCATTGTCAACATTTTGGTGTATGTCCTTTTTTTTTTTTTTTTTTTTTATTTGAGAGAGGGAGTAGAGAGCACAAGTGAGGAGGGGAGTAGAGAGATGTAGCTGGAAGGAAAGAAGCAGGCTCCTTGCTGAGCAGGGAGCCCTACATGGGACTCAATTCCAGGACCCCGAGATCATCACCTGAACTGAAGGCAGACATTTAACCGACCGAGCTAATCAGGTGTCCTGTTATATTTCCTTCTAATGTTCTTATACACATGTATACATGCTCACGTACATGTGTCTGTACACACACACGCACACATTCTTTTTTAAATCAGATGGAAAATTTTTTGACTGATTTCCTGATTAGAGAGATGCAAGCTGCTCTCACTTTCTAAAGTCAGCAGAATATCTCACTGTAGAAATAGAATATAACCTTTGGGGATATAGAAGTATATACTTCTAGAAGTATAAACAGAATGTGCATTTTCAAACTTTAAGTCTTCAGTGTGAACATTAACCAACTTTCTCTGTAGCAAAGCCTTCTCAGAAAAAACTTAGTAGTTCAGAATTTATGATAATATAGATGTGCTAGTATAAATTTTGTTGTTGTAGTATCTATAAATCAACCTTTAGGTATAACAGTTGCTTGACCCTTCTTTAGGTAGGGTTGAAGAAAGAGTGTATTTGTATATACAGTTATTCATGAATATATATTATGGATGTTGTATGTGTAACATATATATAACAGTTGGTTTCAAATAGTTTTTTCCCATTGTTCTTATAGATAAGCCATTCTTATCAGGCCATATGTTATTTTTCTATTAGGAAGTTTATGTATATGTATGAATACATACATATCTGTGTACACATACATATTACATGTCCATATCAGACATAAATATAATTCAGTGCTTAATTATGATATCTGTTGTGAGCAAGAATAATACTTTAATGTCAACTTAGAATTTTCAAAATACTTTAAATCTTTTTTTTTTTTTTTAATTTTTATTTATTTATGATAGTCACACAGAGAGAGAGAGAGAGGCAGAGACACAGGCAGAGGGAGAAGCAGGCTCCATGCACCGGGAGCCCGACGTGGGATTCGATCCCGGGTCTCCAGGATCGCGCCCTGGGCCAAAGACCGGCGCTAAACCACTGCGCCACCCAGGGATCCCCAAAATACTTTAAAATGCGCCTTGTCGCTTCTTGTGAAATAGGTACATAAGGAACAGAAGCTCAGAAAGGTTAGCTCTCGCCCCAAATCACACAGCTAATATATTCTGGTTTCATGTAAGCCCCAAGTATTTTGATTTTAAGATCAACTCCTTTTATTTGATCATGTTCTCTTGGAGATTCAAATTCAGGCCTTCTTCACATGTCAAAATAAATCTAAATGAGCCCGTTCAACTTTGTAGAGGCTTTTCATCCTTTTTTAAGAATCTTTATTATATATGTAATAAAAATTTAGCATATATTTGAATGTATATACATATATATGATCACTTATTTAGGTATAATTAACATACCAAAAAACGAACATATTTTAGATGTCAGCTCAATTATTTTTAACAGTTGTATAACCCATGAAATCACCACTCAAGGTGTAAGATATGGAACATTTCACCCCAGAAAATTCATTCATACCTCTTTCCAATCACTTTTCTGTTCCTCTAGGTAACCACTATTCTGATATTAATCCTGTTTCTTCTTGGATTTCATATAAATGAAATCATACAAAATGCATCCTTTCATGGCTGGCCTCTTTTGCTTAAAAGAGTTTTTAAGAGTCATCCTTGTCATTTTGTGTTTATCAGTAGTTTATTTTTTGTTATTGTTTTTAAAGATTTTATTTATTTATTCATGAGAGACACAGAGAGAGGCAGAGACATAGAGGGAGAAGCAGGCTCCCTGTGGGGAGCCTGATGCAGGATTCGATCCCAGGACCCTGGGATCATGATCTGAGCCAAACACAGATGCTCAACAACTGAGCCATCCAGGTGCCCCGGTTTTTTGTTTTTATTTTTACTATCATTCCACTGCATGAATTGACCACAATTTGCTTATTTGTTCTTCTGTTGATGGGCATTTGGGTTTCCAGTTTGTGTCTGTTATAAATAAGGCTACTATAAGAGCACCAGAATTGCTT